GTGGTGGCGCACGCCTTTAATCCCAGCACTCGGGAGGCAGAGGCAGGTGGATCTCTGTGAGTTCGAGGCCAGCCTGGTCTACAGAGTGAGATCCAGAACAGGCACCAAAACTACACAGAGAAACCCTGTCTCAGTAAACCAAAAAAAAAAAGAAAAAAACACTTCCATTCTTTGTATAAATTGTGTGACTAAGGTGTCCATCATCAGAAAGTCCTGCGAGGGTCTGTTAAGCATTTCTCATCGTAACAGTTGTATTTTTTCAGAAACGATGGAGCTTAAAGGGAGCTCATTGGTTGTTCTTTTCACTGCTGAAGGAAAGCAGAGCTATTGGTTTCACTCGTGCTGTCTTGTTTAACTTTTGAAACCGTACAGTCATATTTACAGTGTTGTTCCTTCATCTCAAATTATAAACAACATTGAAAGATGTCTGTCTGTGCATAGAGTGGTGAGGTTGTTTTATCTTTATTTCTTGGTAGTTGAAGATGGAAGAGTCCAAGTAACGTGAGCTTTCGTGGTGTTTTGTAGGGTACCATGACAATCACATCGTAATTCGGTGGTTCTGGGCTGCTGTGGAACGATTCAACAATGAGCAGCGACTCAGGTTGTTGCAGGTAAGATGCCGTTAGTGCCTCGGTTTGTAACACAGTACTATATTGTTGGAGGTATATATATGTATTAGTAATTGCTAAATATTCTTCATCAACGCCAACCTTGTTTATCTGGCTATGGTATCTCCATACCCTTCTGACTGCGTGTCCACGTACTGGATCACCTGCCGAGTCAGAGCACTTCTTGAGGGTTGTGGGGAAGTGCCAGTGCTAGTCTGAAAACACCCGGGAATGGCATAGTCCCTCAGGACAGTTGGGTCCTTGTAGTGACCACCAGCGGCCTCCTTCATTCGGCATCCGTATCAGAAAAAGAGATGTTCAGTCTGTAAGAAAGGACCCTGTTAGTTAAAATACTCCTTTTCCTTCATTTGACTTGCCATACTTTGTAGAACCAAGGACATCTTAGAGAAGAAGTCGCTGTGTTTTGTGGCATTTATAAAAGCTCTCCATCTGGGGCAATGCTGGTAAGGTGCCACTGAATTATTAGACAGGAGGAAGCCCCTTGGATGCTAAGTCAGGGCCTTACATGTGGGTTTGGACTTTAGTGCTTTTGGATTAAGGATCTGGAACTCAGATTTGCAGGCCACAGAATTCCTAAAATTGATGCCAGATTGATGGCGGGCTGATGCTCAGTGGGTTTAGGTTAATGAATAGACCTGTTTCGTTCATCTGTCATGGGAAATATGCCTGGTTGAAGCATCTGAGCAGGTCAACTGCACGGAGTGCTTTATTTTCTGTGAATGCTTTACTTCTCATTTCCCCATCAAATTCCCTTTCTCAGTGTGGCTGAGTGGTTGTCAGAATCTGTTTTCGTTGTCCCATGTTGAGGAAACGGTGACTCCTGAAGCTCCCTGCTTGTGCCCCCTCTTGGGGGTGCTACCCAGCAGTAATGAAGTTCCTGTCCTGGATGAGGTCTCTGGCTTCACCTTTCCTTCTGTTTCTGTGGTTGATAGTTCGTTACCGGCACATCCAGCATTCCCTATGAAGGATTTGCTTCTCTCCGAGGGAGTAATGGCCCAAGAAGGTTCTGTGTGGAGAAATGGGGGAAAATCACCGCTCTTCCCAGGTAAAGTAGAAAACAGCATCCTTTACTCCCAACTCGGTGCGGGGAAACCTCAGTTTAATTTATATTTTATAGTAGTCTTATTTACATGAATGAATATATCTGTTTATGGATCAATCACTGTTTTATGTGAAGACTAGAAAACTGGAAAGTTTGAAAGATGAAATTCTCTCCAATTACCTTCTTTAACAGAGTGGGGAGAGACGAGGTGCCCTGTTTGGTCATGTGTAAAATACATTCATCTGTGTATCAAAGTTCAAAACACAACAAAGGCAGATTTGCTAGCTTTAATAAAGCAACATCTGTCATCATATTTGTGGCTTGACTCCAAGTCAGTAGAAGATTGTCTTAGTTAGGGTTTTTGTTGTTGTGATGAAACACCATGACCACTAGCTATATTTTCTTTAAGTTTGGGTTTTTGGATATACACTTTTTTTAGGAAATTTTAGGAGGCCACAACCCTAGACAAAGAACTATAGGCAGCTAAGGAATTCTGAGAGTGGAAGAAATTGTCTTCCCCTAGGAAGAGCACACCAATTGGTTATCCAGTACCAAATGATCAGCCATGAAAACATGCGTACAAGTAACAACATTATATAGACTGAGAAAGTTGTATTCATGTTTTTAGGAATACATACACACACACACACACACACACACACACACACACACACACACACACACAAAGGCAAAGAAGCCATACATTTGAGAAAGAGCAAGGAAGAGGGCATGGAGGATTTGGAGGGGAAAAGAATGAAGGGGGTGCCATGATGTGATTATAATCTCAAAAAAAAAGTGCTTGAAAATGAATTTAAAAAGACAAGCAACAACAAAACCATAATGACCAAAAGCAAATTGGGAGGAAAGGATTTATTTCATCTTACAACTTATAGTCCATCACCCAAGGGAATCCAGGGCAGAAACTCAAGGCAGGAGCTGATGCAGAGTCCATGGAGGGGGGCTGCTTACAGGCTTGCTTCCCATGGCTTGCTCATCCTGCTTTCCTATAGCACCCAAGACCACCAACCCAGGTGTAGCACCACCCACAGTGGACTGGGCCCTCCATATCAATCATCAATAAAAAATGTACCATAGTCTTGCCCATAGGCAACGTGGTCAGGGCATTTCCTCAACTGACTTCTAAAATGTTGCTAGCTTTCGTCAAGTTGATCAACACTAACCAGCACAAAGCTCTAGTGTTAAGGATAGGTTGGTAACTGTTGAGAATGACTTCCTAGCAACTCTGCTGTGGGTGAAGAGGGTTCAGTCTTGTGAATATACTCGACCTCTCTAGCATATAGTATCTGTGCTGTTGTTCCTTGTGAATACCCTGCAGCCGACTCTCAACACCGCCATCCATCTCATGAAGGTGGAGAAGCATCGCTTTATTGCCGCTAGCGATAAATGTACAAGGCTGGCAGGTAGCGTCTGTGCGGGAAGGCATGTATGAGGGTAAATGGAGACAGCCCAGGGGCTTGCCTAAGCACCTTACCTACCTATGCATATCCCAAACTGGGCCTGGGAATTCTGCAGCACAGACTTAATTAGTATCTTGTATATTTGACACTCTAAACTGGATGACTGTGACTTTCGTTACTTAAAGAACTAGCTTGTTTTACTATATTTTACTTGTGCCTGGGCAGTGAGGTTCCTCCCTCCCCTTAATGCATATTTGCATCTTAAAAACAGATTTATCCTATCTTAATATGGTTTTTCACTCTTCTGAGAAACTTAAGAATTAGCATAGGAGAGGCAGGAAAATTCAGGTTAACTGTGCGCCGCATTTCTAATCAATCAATTTTCCATGAAGCCACTACAGTTTATGGAACTGACTGCAGTAATGATGGGTATAGCTGCTATAGTTCACAGTCACTGGAACTTTCCTGAAACCTGATAGCTTGGTTACAGCCGGTCCCCTCCTCTGCCTTGTACTGAGGATTCACTGAGGTCATTTACACAAGACACTTTTTTCATGGGCCCTGCATTTGCCGCTGGCTGTCCCTGTGGCTGTCACTGCAGTGTCTGTCCACACCATCTGCAATTAGGCAGGGACATCGGAACAAGCAGAAGGCTGGAAGTGAGAAATCCTGGGCCCTGGTCCACTTTGTCACCATCAAACTCTGGGATCTTCAGAACCACTGTTCTCCGAGTCTCAGGGTTCCATGGGCTTATCTCTGTACACCTGGAGGGGGTGCCGTGTTGGGTTGCTTGAGTGAGAGGTAACACCAAAAGATTGCTGTAGAGTCTTGGGGGTTGTCTGCACTGGCATGTCTACTTCCCCCTGGTAGTTCCAGAAAGTTCTCATGCTGACTCATTGTAGATGGAGATGTTCCTCAGAAACATTGAAACACACCGTTGGGTAATAGCCATGACCATTCTTCCTCTCTTCCCGGGCAGCACCGGGGACTACCCTGATTATAACGTAGCACAAATAAAGTGGTTATTTTCCATCTCCATAGAGTAGAAATAACAATGCCCGGCTCAGAGATTATTCCTAACCCTTGAGTGAGATAATGTATTGGAAAGTCCTTAGGGAATGGATACTTTCTTGTTTCTTTTTAAGCCTTTAATCCTTAACCTCTGTAGCCACTGTACTGCTCAGGTGAAATTCTCTCTCTCTCCCTCTCTCTCTCTCTCTCTCCCTCTCCTCCCCTCCCTCTCTTTCTTACACACACACACACACACACACACACACACACACACACACACACACACACACACCAAGTTTAAGCAAAAGCCTAAGACAAACAACTTCAGTGCATGACAGTGTAGTTTTGCCAGAAGTAATTTCTTCACTGACAACCCGGCCATTGCCCTTTATGAGATTTAAAGCCTCACTGGGGTGTAAAAAGATCTGTCAAGTCAGTTCCAACTCAAAGACATTATTTTCTATTTCTAAGACCAAAACATATGCACTAAGCCGTTTTCCTGCCACTTCCTGTGAGTCACAGAGCTGAGGAGTTGGGTCTGTCTCAAGCCGGTCAGCTCCGGCGTATCCTTTTCCCTCTCAGTGATGCTGTGTCTGATGTTTAAATTGTGGTACTGTACATATAAACTAGATGGAACAGACGGAGGTCCTCCTTACTAAAAGTAAATGTGTGTTTTTTAAAGTCCCCTCTAACGAGTCTGGCCTCATCTTCACCCGAGAGTCTGTAACCTGCAGAGTTGGAAGGGTGGGAAGGGTGACAATAAGCTGTCGTTGCAGGCTAGAGTGATGGCAGAGCGCCGCTTGGTCTGTCCAGACAGACAGTTCCGTCTTTCAGCCTTCTGAGCGAGCAAGCGTGACTCCTACCCTCTGGTTTCTTACTCTCATTTTGTGGTAGCCCTCATCACGCTGTGCCCCAAGAAATGGATTGAAGTACATATGGTCGCCTCTGAAGCCAGAACAAGTTGCATCTGTGTCCATGACTTTGCCCCGACTTCTATCGCAATAAGTAACCAGTGATTTAGCTGACAAATAATGATAGAGACTTGAGCCTTACTCAGTGGTGTCTCCATGGAGACCAGCAGCCTGAACACATTACTGCACTTCCTCTGCTTTGTGGTTGGTGGTTGGGCTAGCTCCGCATTTGCATCTCTGTGGAAGACTTCCTGCCCCCTGGAGCTCTGATCGATTTTATGAGTAAAGAGTAAACTTACTTTATGGCATTTCCTCTTAACAGTCCAAAAAAAAAAAAAAAAAAAAGACTGTTCCAGTGCCAGCCTGCAGAGTACAGGGCAGTCCTCTCTGCCATCTGGATACAGAGCTCCTAAGTTCATCTGAGGTTTTTGCCAATGGAGTTGGAGAAGAAGAGTTAGGGTGGGGTTTGACAAAGAAGAAATTTTAACTTGGGAAATTAGTTGTATTGGGAGACTATTAAGAATAAGATGTCAACCCCAAAGTTAGGAAATTAAATGTCAGAGCTCACTACGAAATAAGTGTCTCAATGAAGCAAATTTTACACAATAGAATAGAACTGTTATTTTGTGATCTTTGAGCTCAGGTTAACCTTGAATTTGTGCCACCCTGCCTTAGCCTCACTCTTCACGGGTGCTGGCATCCTAGGCACACACTACCACACCCAATGGAATAGACCTGGAAAAATATAATGGTTTGTTGCCCTCTCTCTGTCTCTCTTAATGAGAACCATTTTCTCACTGTAAAATTCTACTCTTTATTCTTGTTATAAAAAGAAAACTTTTTGCAAACATGCCAAGAAAAAAATGCTTAAATTTTAAAAATTAAGTGTGTGTAAAGTCTGCACATAAATACCAGTCGACAGTCCAACAGCGAGGTGAGTTCTGTTAAGTTTGGAGAACGTGCTTCTATCATCCTTCAGATGCCCGCCTGTGTGCATGCGTGCACACCAATTCAAAGGCAAAAATTGCACTGCCTGGCCTGTTTGCAAGCTGCTTTTTGTGTGTCACACCATTAATTATGACCCTCTTTCTGTGTCTTCAAACACTGCTCTGTGGTATCATCAATAATGCAGTTTTTCCTCCTCCAGTGAAAGAGCGTTGTCCACCATCAAGGCAAACCCTCGGCTAGTCGACAGGTAAACAGCAGAGGAGTCCTGAAATAAAATGCCACTTTGCTCGATTAAAAAAAAAAAACTAATCAAACAAGGATGAGCCCTGGAGACACCCTTGGGCGCCACTTTTGTGTCTCTGTCTTGAAGTGCCCAGCTGCCGGTGTCTGGGGTGGCCGTGCATGTGCGGAGGACTTGGGGGATGGCTTCTCATAGCTGAATCTCTAATGCAGTGGCCCGCTTCAACACCGACCCCCACCGCCCTCTCACTCAGTTCTGTATAACAGCACGCTTAATGATCTTACCTTATTCTGCCATTTCATCAACGTAGTACCACATGTAAATGTGATAGATCTTTTGGACTGGTCTTTACTTGGGGAGGTAGATTGTGAAGTCAGGCTAGCGGCGCCTACCTGCAATTCCAGGAAACAAAGCCAGAAGGGTTGACTGTTCAAGACCAGTTTCAAAGTCCCTATCTTAAAATGGGGGGAGAGGTGGGGGGGAGGGGTAATCTAAAAATGGACCCAGGCAAAAAGTGAAACACTTAAAAGAATTGGCCAGTTTTTAACGAAGAATTTCCCTAGCTACCTGCAGTGGAGGATGACATAATCCAAGTCAAAGTAACCCACAGGCCTGGAGGGCTGTTTCATAAATCATCCTTTACGTACATTGGTGGGCAGCAGACAACACAGCTGTTAAAGGAAATGGCATTCCTTTCCTTTGGCCTCAAGAGCACAAACTTGGTCTCTTATCACCAGCCTACTCCATGACACACTCACCTCTCACCTGGATCACTGCAGCAGGCAGCCAGCCGGACTCCTTCTGTTCCATCCACGCTGACATTCATTCATCCTATCTCTTAAGGCCGTCTCTCTCCCCTGCGCACATCCTTCAGCTGCCTAAATAAAATTCTGACTCCTTCCCCAGTACTTGAGGGTGGGAGACCTGGTCATGGCGCCGCCTCCCGACCCCCAGCTCTGACCTCAGCCACTGGCCTCTCGGTTAGTCTTCAGACATGATGACCCAGTTTCGTTCAAGACTGTGGGTCTGTGGCCCAGCTCCCCTTTCTGCTGGTTCTTTCTTATCCCTGAGAGTTGGGCTGAGATGGGGACCCCATCAGAAAGGCCCATCTGACGTCTTCGCTCAGCGAGCCTGTCACTCACTCTAGCCAAACTTAAGTCAGATGACTTCCCCTAATCCACTTACCAAGTTTACTTGTTAGCATGCTTATGACTGTTCCCACCTCTAGAATATAACCCTATGAGGACAAGGGCCTTGTTTGAATTTAATATGGCTTTGGTCTTAGCAGTGAGCTGAGCACCTGACACCCGAGGCATGTTGTTTGTGGAATGTTTTTTAACTTGACTTTATGCTCATCTGTAAAGCCGAGGGCTGCTGCTAGTGCTCACATTATAAAGCTTTGAAGTCTAAATGAGGTTCTACACACAGATTGAAGGCCAACACAGCACCAGTAGGTGGAGGTGAAGAAGAAACTTGCTTGGAATGCATAGTTTGAGGCTAGTTATCTGCAGGACAGGAGTTCCTGCTGCAGTAGTATTCCACACTGTACTCATAGCTCAGGCATCTCCACCAAGGTGACCTCATGACACACTGGAATGAGACTTATGTAACAGTAATTCTCGACTACTTGCTTTGAGTAAGTTCTTATGTGACGTATAAATTGATCTTTGTCCATGTGGCCTTAAAACATAAGGAGAAAAGTGATAGGTCTTTGCATGAACAAATAGTTAGCATTTTTGTCCACCAAATAATATGAAAAACAGGTAGTTGGAGTAATAAATACCATAGATCTCCTCCCCGTTAGTTCATATTTATTGAACACCTAGTTGAGTGTGCAATAGGTTAAATAGATATTTATGACTTTAGTGTCAGCAAGAATTTCTATTCTAAACTTCCTGGCCCAAGCAGATATTAATAAGGATACTAGAGAAATTATTAACATTTTTAAAGAATTAAAATAATAAGTTATGGAAAAATTATACCTTTGTTTGTGCTAATAATGCTACCCAGGCTAAGAAAACTGGCACTGGGTACCTGTACTGAATCCTGTCACTCTAGGTGATTGGTAGTTTTTGGTGATTTTTCAAGATGATCACAACCAGACTTCACCTTCTGTCCTTATCTAGAGCCTATGTTCCCTGCCTTGTTTAATGGCACCTCTGCCATCTCCTTGCACACCCAACCACTGTTTCCTTTCACCATGGAATTAAGGCTTTTGCAGACGCGTACCAGCATCCGCCTGGCCCACCCTCCCTTTCTGGCCTTGTCCAGCCGTGGACCTGCCACTGTCACTTCTCTGGTTTCTCGGTGACACAGTGCTTTCTCTCCCAGCCCATCTGTTGGGAAACATCCTTCTTGTTGATCCAGAAAAGCCCTGCACACCTACACATCCTTCTAATCTTGGCATAGACAGTATCCTCTACAGAACCTTCTCCAACTTTGCTGAACAGACTTATAACTCATTGTAGGCTCACTATCTGCTGAACCATGGATAACCCATAGGAATCTTTTGGATTAATTAGACAAAGGTGTCTCAGTCTTCAGGAAAAAATGCAGCCCAGATCTGAGACTAAGGGTTTATCGCCAAGAGCCAAAGGCATGCTGGGTCTCTGAGCCACTTGCTCCAGGCAGATTCCCTAGTATAGAGCCTAAGCTGCTTGCCCTTTAGACTTCGGTTTGCTGTGCATGTGAATTCTTTCAGGACAGAGACCAGACCGTTCTTCCTCATCTCCCTGAACAGCTCAGTGCTTGACATACAGTATCCATTCAGTGAGCATTTGTTTGGCAAGTGAAGGACAAAGGAAGGTGTCGGGCAAGTGGAACATTTAAGTTTTGACCATCAAAGGCACTTTGCATGCACAGGGCAAACGTTCATGATCTGGGACCCTCACCTCACAGGGGAAGGCAATATGGGTATTTTTCAGTTAGCGAGACTCTAGAAGTGAATGGATTAGATTCTTCTTGAACACCCATTGGTCCCTGAATTAGAACCTTGAAAAGCCAGAAATGGGGGAGGGGGTTGTCTGAGGCAGTACCAGAACCCTGAATACACCAAAGAAGCCAAGAATTGTCTCCTCCAGTCACAACAGCTGATAGAACCGGGAGCACGCCCACTTCCCTTGGAGCATGCCTGCACCACACTTGCAAATAGGCAAGATTTGGACTTGATAAGTCAGTTTGAGAACAAACACATGGCCAAGGGAATTTTGACATTGCAAAATGATACCTCTCAAGATCCTTGTGTGACTCTCCTGGGTGTTTTAAGTATTTGTTTTTGACTGGTGAATGTCTCGATGAAAAAGTATGAATAGGAATAAGAAAACTGAGATCTGAAGGGTAAGACGTCACTGCAAGTTTAAGATGAGAGTGTCAGCGATTCTAACTGACAAAGCGCACAAAGGATTTATTGGATGCCCACACATTTTATTTTTGTATTACACCTGTTACTTAAAACAAGAGTCCTGGTTTTCTCTTCCTCTCTTTCTCCCTCCCTCCCTCCCTTCCTCTCCCCTTCCTCTCCTCCCCCCCCCCATTTTAAAAATCTTGATCTTAATTTTTTCTTTGTCTAGCATTTTGGGTGCTTGAACAAAAAAGTCACTTTGGGGTACAGAATAAGTGACTGAGTGAGGACATTCAACACAGACAGAGAGATGCCTTAATCAGCTAAATGGCTTGTGCAAACCTAACGGATGCTCACTGAGTTTAGGAAACTGACTGGCCATAGGAAGCGCAAAAGAGGGCCAGCCTGGGACCCTGTGTTTAATATTAGAAAAATCCAGAAAGCTCCAAGACTTCCATTAAGTCAGACCATAGGTCCTGGGGTTGGGGGTGGTGGTAGGGGAGCCTGGAAAGCGGGGAGGACTTACCCTCCTTGAGTGTCTGGCTGCATAGGTCGAGGTGAGGTAAACTCATTATGGCTTCAGGGTGGCTGGCTTTGGAAGATTTGAAAAAACATTCTCCTACTGAGACTGAAAAGCGGGGTGTGCTTTTGCTGCCAATATCAACACAGTCCCGAGGCCCTCCTGGTATTTTCTACTAGCTTTTTTAGGACATGGAATGGGCTTGGTGGGGTGGGGGGAGTATGAAAAGTCTCAGACGATTTTCTTTTTGTTCTTTCTTGTACTTGGCTCCTACAACAGGCTGATGGTAAATATTGGGCAATTTATTTAACCACACTATTCCTCAATTTCCTTGTTAGCAATGTTGGCCTGTTTGTATGCAGTTTTGAAATATGTGCAAGCACACAGAATGTCAGTGTGGATATCCAGTTTCGATATTGTGTTTCTAAAATTGGTGTGATGTCTCTCCAGTGGTGGAGACCCCCTACATCAGACTCATTTGGAGTGGATCTTTAAAATGCAGATCACCAGGACCCCTCCCCGCCCCAAACCATCTGACTGAGAATCTCAGGGACAAAACCCAAACTCTCTGTTGTACATAACTTCTAGGGTAATTCTGAGTCACTCCAAAGTGCCCCCACAGAGTACCTCCGTTCTCCTGTAAGCCTGAGATTCAGCTTGATGTTTTGGTCACTAAAAAAATCCCCTGGTATCTCCCAGAATCTTCTGGATTGACCCAAACTTGAGCATTGTCCCCAGAGATACTGCATACTGTCACTGACCAGCTCCTTAAAAATTCCCTGAAGCTTTTTGTCCCCCGATCCCGTTCCACACACATTTGTGACTATAGCGCAAAATGCGTGCAGAACTCACGCCTGAGCCTCAGGGGTTTCGTGGCACCCACAGAAGTAAAGAATGCAGCCCGTGAACAATAAAAGTCCCCATTTTCAGTTGGACGTTGGGCTTCCTTGAGGAGAGGAGGTACTATTTTTTTGGTTGGGCCACTTTCTTAGCTTTGACCTTAGGAAAAACATTTCATCTTTCCACATAGCTTCACCCTCCAGAATATAGGCTGTCTCTAGTCCCATGGGACATTGTCCAGAGGATCTGCTTATTCAGAAGGAAAGTCAGGTTATGCTAACTACATGTTATACAACCAGATGTAACTTGAGAAGCAACGATGGTATTACATTATGGAGCAGTAATGGTGATTATGTCTCACCAGAAACAAAACAAAAAAAAAACTTATTATTTCAAGATGAAGTGGTAGCTTACTTGGAAGATTAAGACAGGAGGTTTGCCTCGAGTTCAGGACCCGCCTGAACCCTAACTCAGTCTCTCCCTCTCCCTCTCTCTCTTGCGCGCACACACACACACACACACACACACACACACACACACACACACACAATTGTTCAGTCCTTTGTATTGAAAACTGAAAATAGTACACAGGCTTGTGGAAATTCCTGGATAAGATACAATAGTAAAGATACCACAGGAACTGAAAGAGACACTCATGGTTCCTGTCCTGCCTTGCTTCGGCATTGGCCCTGGATACGTGAGTATATCATATTAAATCATCATCACATCCCATGCTTTCCCTTGTATGTTTGGTGACCTTGACACTTGTTACTAGTTTCTGGTTGCTGCAAAACAAACCATGCGAATGTGGTGGTTTAAAAGGTGCCCATTTATTGCCCCTAAGTTCTTGGGGCAAGGATTCAGGCCTGGCTTAGTGAGATCATCTCCTCGGCCTCACAGCACTGGAAGTGGGGGTTCTTTCTCATCCGAAGACTCAGCCAGGGAAGGGTGTGCTTCTAAGCCCCTTTAGGTTATGGTGACATTCATTCCTCTAGGCTGCAGGCTTCATGGTAGATTGCTTCTTCAAATCCTACAAGAGAGTCCATTTTTATTATGCCACATTGAGACAAATCAATAAGAACCCTTCAGAAAATGAATGATTTCATGCCCATTAGGATGACTAGTCTAAAGATTAAGAAATATATGACCCTTTGGCAATGAACATTTGCAAGTAGAGATGAATGGAGTAAAGGGTAAACTGTGACTCAACGGGCCACACTAGAGCTTCCAGGACAAGACTCTTCTCTTTTGTTTGTTTGTTTGTTTGGTTGGTTGGTTTTTTGCTTTTAGTTTTTCTTTTAAATTTGATTTTTTTTGTGGGGTGGTGGGAATGAAGTTGTAAGGGCAAATGCAAGGAGACAGGGAGGTAAGTAGGATTGGAATGCATGATGTGAAATTTACGAAGAACCAATAAAAGTAAAAATAAATAAATAAATAGATACATAGATAAATTAATTAATTAAGAAATATAAAAGTGCTGGATAGTTTTAGGTCCACTTGACATAAGCTAAAGTCATCTGAAAGGAAGATGCCTCTATAAGATGGAGCTGTAGACAAGCCTGTAGGGCATCATCTTAATTAGTGATCCATGGGGGAGGGCCTCCTCCATTTTATGTGGTGCCATCCCTGGGCTGGTGGTCCTGGGTTCTATAAAAAAGCAAGCTGAGCAAGGCATGAGGAGCAAGCCAGTAAGCAGCTCCCCTCCATGGCCTCTGCATCAGCTCCTGCCTCCTGGTTCCTGCCCTGTTTGAGTTCCTGTCCTGACTTCCTTCAATGATGAACAACAATGTGGACGTGTGAGCCAAATAAACCCTTTCCTCCCTGACTGGCTTTGGTCATGGTGTTTCAGTCTAGCAATAGAAACCCCAACTAAGACAATAAGTAAGATGTAGAAAATGAATGCTGGTGAAGATATCAAGTGATTAGAACTCCTGGATGCCGCTGGTATGAATGGAAACCGTGAGAACATTACGGAGCACTGGTGCTTCAAATATGAAATACACATCATGTTCCCATAATTCTACGTCTGGATCTCCTCCCCTAAAGACTGAAAGCAGAGATTTAAACAGGAGTGTGTGTGTGTGTGTGTGTGTGTGTGTGTGTGTGTGTGTGTGTGTGTGTTCATAGCAGCAGTATTTTTAATAGCCAGAGGTGGAAACAAACTGTCAGTCAATGGGTGAATAGATCAACAAATCATGGTATTTACACATAGTGGAATTATTATTCAGTATTAAGAATGAAGGAAATTCTGAGCCATGGTTACAGCATGAACCTTTAAGATTCTACATAAAGTACACAGAGTAATAAAAAAAATCATGGACAGAAAACAGAACAGTGAGTTCCAGGGGCACAGGAGGGGGACAAACAGGATGGATTTACTGCTTGGCGGATCGAGTTTCAGTTGCAATATGTAAATGTTCTGGTGCTGGTTGCTGCTCTGTGTGTCTTAGTTCCCATTCCTGCTGCTGTTCTAAAATGCCCTGACAAACGCAGCTTAAGGGAGGGGAAGCTGGTCTGAGCTCACAGTTCAAGGGACACATGTGTCCTGGTGGCAGGAACTTGAGGTGGCTGGTCATACTGTATCCACTGTCAGGGAGCAGAACAATGAATATAGGTGCTCAGTTCTCCTTTTCACTCAGTCCAAGATTCGGACTCTAGTACGAGGTCTCCCCTAGTGAGGGTGGGACTTTCTCCTCACTTAATCCAATCTAGATGAGCCCTCCTCGACACGCCCAGAGGCCCATCTGATCTTGTTAATCTCCGACAAACAGGCCCCAGTCTCCTAGGTAATTCTCATCCCTTCAGGTTGGCAATCAATTGTAGCCATCACACCATTTGAATGCACTTAACGCCACAAACCTGAGCATTTAAAAACAGCTACAACGGTCAATTTTACCCCAATAAAAGCATTAGAAAGGAAAGATAGGCAAAGGAAAAGGTGGGGATCACAAAATGGTGAACGCAAAGAGGAAGTACACTGCTTAAGCAAAGAAATGACGTTTAAAATGGTGACGTTCCTGCCATATTTCAGTCAAAGGGAGTAATAAATATTCCCTGGTTGTCACACAAAGCCTGACATGTTATTCTCTGCAAAATGTCTTTTACTTCTATACTTATCCCTCACTCACCTTCCCTGGAACAAAAATGAAACCAGTCATATATATATATATATATATATATATATATATATATATATATATATATATAAATTTTAAATTTTTATTATTATTTTCTTATTGGTTTTTTGAGACAGAGTTTCTCTGTATAACAGCTCTGGCTCTCCTGCAACTTGCTCTGTAGACCAGGCTGGCCTCAAACTCACAAAGGTCCACTGCCTCCCAAGTGATGGGATTAAAGGCATGGGCCACCACCGCCCAGCCCAGTTTTTTTGTTTTTTTTTTTTTTTTTTTGGTTTTTCGAGACAGGGTTTCTCTGTGTAGGTTTGCGCCTTTCCTGGAACTCGCTTTGTAGACCAGGCTGGCCTCGAACTCACAGAGATCCGCCTGCCTCTGCCTCCCAAGTGCTGGGATTAAAGGCGTGTGCCACCACCGCCGGCTTCAGCCCAGTTATATTTTTTATTTCAGAGTTTCACACCAGATAAATTTTAAGCCATTCCCCAGGGCTCTGTTTTGGCACATTAGCAAAACCTTTGCCATGGGGTCTAGGTCTGGGCTCCATTATAAGGAGATGGCAGAATTCTGATAAATACAATTTTAGGATGTTTGGTGGTGGTTTTTTTTTTTTTTTTTTTTTTGTTTTAGTTTGCCTGCAAAGATTGATGAGGTGATTTCCACCAGTGGTCCAAGAGTTTGAGGTATCAGGATTGGAAACCCTGAGCCTTCATATTCCGTGTTATTTTAACAGAGTCCCTCACAGTCCTGTGTCGCAGTCATGTGAACATATGCCTGCTTTATTATCTCTTTATTATGTCATCTTTTCCACGGGTCATTGTTATCTTTGGGCAATGTAGTGAAGGCGATCAGCATGAAGTTCTCTCGTGACAAGGAAATGTGTCTAACAACACAGCTCTGGTTTCTATAGTCAAACACTATGGGCCGGCCATTCTTCGAAGCGTGCTTCTGTTATTTCTGTGAATCCTCACACCTTTCTGAGATACATTGCCTTATTATATTAACCCCCCTTTAACAGGAAAGAAATTTGAGTCTCATACCCCAAATCACACAGCTGGTGTGGGAGGTAGAAGGGGGACTCAGACCTAAATCTCTCCAACCCCAAGGTTTTAAACCCCCCCCCATGTTGTATTGCTTATAGAAATTTTCTATTTCTATAGGAATAGAAAAAAAGTAGTCACGTTTATCTCAAGTTGAAAATGACTTATAACGAGAAAATTTGCACATTGCTTTTGTACAGATATCTGACTAATAATCATAGCTTCTCAAATTTCATGTTACTTCAGGGTCTTTTGGGTTTTTTTTTCTTTTCCTTAAATCTAAACTACTTAGCCCCAGAAAACAAACTGTTTTGCATTCAGGACAGGGCACTTCCTGTCCCGTGTCAAAAGTGCAGATCTGGCCCCCTGATAAGATGTACTATTTGGAGACTTTTTATTGTGAGTCAGGTGCAAATAACAGGAAAACAGCCCCCCTGCCCCCTGTCTTGGCAAAAGAGCAGGTATTTCTAAAAAAGAATGCTGCACAGAACTGTGATTTAATGGGCATTTTTTCTGCATTGTGAACGGGGAGAAGGCAGATTATCGTGTGGAATTCAAAGCAGTCACAGTGTCTACTGACTTCCACAGACAGGCCTAGCCAGGGACTTTCCCCAAACTTGGAGCCACAGTCTGGGCTTCAGACACAGTTGCTGTTCTCGCTGCCCAAGAAAATGAAAAGCTTCGGAGCCGTGGACTATCGGAGGGGGACCAGGCGACTGGCAGTGACCAGGCCACTGGCAGTGGGGAGGGAATCACTTTACAAGGCCTGTGTTCCTGTCTTTGCACAGAGAGGAAGAAAACAGGCTGAGCTTGGCTTTTTCATCCTCATACAGCTCAGCAAATAATACTATGCACAGAATACAGAATGCGTCTTTTGTTTGTTTGTTTGTTTGTTTGTTTTTCGAGACAGGGTTTCTCTGTGTAGCTTTGCACCTTTCCTGGAACTCACTTGGTAGCCCAGGCTGGCCTCAAACTCACAGAGATCCACCTGGCTCTGCCTCCCAAGTGCTGGGATTAAAGGCGTGCGCCACCACGGCAAGAATGCGTCTTCTAAAGGGTGACATGTAAAGAAAATTTTCATGCGTCCTACTCATCTAAGAAAAAACGCAACGCTGAATTTTTAAGTTGAAATAGCCTTCACTTTTCCCAAAACAACTGTGAAAATGGTAACAAATAAATTTGAATATGAAAGAGAAAAGCACACTTGTGGGTACACACACACACACATACGCACGCACGTGCGTGTGCGCACACACAGACATGCACACACATGCACATGCACAAACGCACACTCACGCACGCATGCGTACGTGAGCCCATGAGCGTGCGTTTTCATTTTCCCAACCCCCTGCTAAACTACATCCTGCTTCTTCTGTTTGCAGAGCCCACACGTGTTTTAACCGCCTGGATCTTCCTCCGTACCCTTCCTTTTCCATGCTCTATGAGAAGCTCTTGACCGCGGTTGAAGAGACCAGTACCTTTGGCCTGGAGTGACCTGGGAGCGTGATGCTCAGCTCTTCGTGCTGGACAGGCAGTTTCAGAAGCCGGCCTTCAGAAGAGTGGCAGAGCGTTGGAAATCCCAAGCCTAGGGTTCTGTTAGAACAAACTGAGTGCTGCTCTTCGGGAACACGTGCTCGTTCGTGGGTTTGGGGACTGGCCGTGAGTCCTCTGGCAAGGACGGGGTGAGCTCGGTGCCCATGGAACAACCCAACAGTCTTTCAGTCAACAGTTCCTGACTGCCAAACCTTTCCCATTTGTTATGTTTGAAGATAAAGGGGGAACCTGCACATGATCAACTCCATGGTGACTTTTAGGGCCTTGGGAGAATCTTGACACTCTCCTGGAAACATACTTCAAGCCAAACTGGCAGCCCTTGACCCCATCTCTAAATTAGTGCAAGTGAGAGAAAAACATAAAGAAAAAATATCTATTTCCTGACAGTACCTTTGTTTAAGCCCTAAGTTATAACAGAATATTCATTTCTTGCTTACGAGTGCCTGCATGGTGTGCACTATAGGTTTCATTATTCACGGGACAAGGGTGAAAATGAAACCAGGTCAGTATGAGGTAACTTTAAAGATTTGCAATAAGGTGGTCTGTAACAATGTATATGCAAGTGTATGTGTGTACTTCTGGCTGAAGACAAACTGTTATTCAATGAATTCACTAATGACAGATTTTATGCTTTATAATGCATGAAAACAATTTTAAAATAACTAGCAATTAATCACAGCATATCAGGAAAATGTACACAGTGAGTTCTGTTTACTTTTTATAGGTTCATTATGTTTCTGTTCTTGAAAATGTATATAAGGACCTACCTACCATGTTGTATGTACCACCTCTCCATTTTCATGTTCCATGCTTACTTGGGCATCTTGCTAGTACGTATCCTTTGAAGCACGCTCAAGGGAACTAAAGGGCCTTTTATTTTTATAAAGGGTAAAACAATTCCCCAGAATATTTTGCACTGAACGTACCAAAGTCGAAGGGACATTACAGTATGACCAACAGCCGCGCCGTCACTTGATGGGTACAACAGAAGTAGCTTCTAAGTCAGACTTCCTTCACAGTGCCATGTCAACCACTGCAAGGACTGTGCATCTGAGTAATAATTTTTTAAGACTCACAATATGTGATAGTATGATATGCATTTATTTAAAATGCATTAGATTCTCTTCCATCCATCAAATACTTTACAGGATGGCATTTATTATAGATATTTCGTATTCCCCCACTGCTTTTTATTTGTACAGCATCATCGAACACTCAGCTTGGTTAGGGAGCCATTGGCAGTGCCGGGGAGATCAGCTCTCTTAGGAGTAAGAATTCCACCTTCCCTCATCGGTGAAGATCCCGTGAATTGAAACTCTCAGTACTATATTTCTAAGCCCGCAGTTTCACTGATGCATAATTTTTCTTATTAATATCAAGAAAAAATTTTTCTATGGTCTCTCAGAAACTGCATGACATCCCTGACAAGACTTCTTAATTTGATGAAAGGATTTCCTTCATTTTAATTGCTTTGGGGACTGTCCCATGCCATTGTTTGTTCCTTGATTTGTGACATAACTAATCAGACACACAATACAGTCAAGTGAATTGAGGGTGGGAAAACCATTGGGTTAACATTCAGTTTGCCAGTCTGGGGGGTTACAGGCGTTACCTGAACATTGCTTTGAGAATCTTGTTTGTAAGTGTCGTTGACTTCCTGTTGTGGGATGGGGGTGACTTTACATTTCATGGGGTTCCATGCACAGTCCGCAGAGGTGTTTTGTAAGAACAGTTACTCTCCTGCTAGTTAAGTAAGCTGTGTTTACTGTTGGGACCCTCAAGAGGAATGGCACCTCATGTTGTGTTACTGTGTTAAAGATAAGTACTGGATGTGGGAGAACGTTCCAGGAGAAAAAAAAATGATAGAAACCTGGAAAAGATATATAGAATATTTATTTGTATACCATAATTGGGCCAGAAAAAAAGATCGACTAAAACTTTTTGACTGGAATTATTAGTTTGTACTTATTTGTCATGAATACAAGTATATATTTAATTTTTGCAAACTTCTTTTTCTTGTTTGTGTTTTTTCATCATAAGGAAAACAGCACGTTAACATACTTTTAAAATCACACTTTGATGCATCAGAGCCGTCCCTAATGGCTGTCACAGGGGCTGGTCAAGAGAAAGCTGCCTTTCTTTCAGAAATAACATTGACAGACCGTGTTAATGTTCATTTGGTTTAGGAAGCTTCGTCATCCACAGTATGCCGTATTGCTGGCAGAAGACATGTGAAACAAATTGTACCTCTTTATTTCTAATTAATGTTAGTAATGCTATTGTTGTTGACACTGGGCAGCCAACTTCTCGAATAACCACTTTGAATGTATTCAGGCGTTCTTAAAGGAGTACAGTTTAGTCTAGTCGGCACTGTCCTGAGAATTGGGAATTATCAAAACTGTAGCTAGCATATCAGAAAACCAGATAACCTATCTGTTATTCTTCATGGGTAAAACGAAAAACACACAATAATAGCTCTATAAAAGCTAAACAACATCGCCACAGAATAAATTAGATGCTATTGTACTCCACAATCAGAAATATTCATAAATGTGTTCTTCTGGACTGGGAACCCCACTACTTGGCCCTTTGGTTTTGTCTTAAGAAATGTGTAAGTGATGCTACTAACCCTGTAAAAGACAGTTTCGATACCCCATGTGTGTACCATCTTTCAGAGCGCAGGCACACTGTTGGCATTCTCTCCCTGCCAGTCACTGCATTTGATGACGGAGCTACAAGATTCTGAATCTGGCCTTCAGAAAGACGCTCATAGTCGGCCAGAGGGGGCATCAAGTGTCCAAAACAAATTTAAATAAAGGACAAAGTTCTACGGTTAATGAAGAGAGACTTTCCTGTTCCGCTCCAGAGGCTTGGTTACAGCTTCATGTGTGTGAAACTGTGTTGCTAAAAGACATCATCATATATGTGCTATTTCTCTTGGTAACTACAAGGGTGTCATAGAATATTAATGCTGGTAAGTCTTGAGACCCAAAATGCACTCATAACAATGAGGATCTAAAGTCTGTAGGTGGGGGCTGAGCTGTGAAGGAACAAGTCAAGGATCTTCAAATCATCCAAGAAATGCCAAAATGAAGTCTGAAGATTTCCTCCAGTCACTGCGCTACATTTTCAGTGTGAAATATCACAGTTCCTGAGCCCAAACTACATGTGGGATCACATCATTTTTTCTTTCGTACAAAATGAATGGAAGTCACAGTTTTCTATTATATGTTGTATTTATGCCTCAATGGTCAAAAGGACACAGTTGAACTAGAGAAGGAATACATTTTGCAAAATCAAAGTTCATCTCCTCCAGACATTCTCATTAAATTAAACTCTACTCTTCATGACTGAGATCTGTTCACAGCCACCATGGTGAAAAGGCCCTGAAGCTGGTGACTGTAGATATGTTTGCACAGTGCTGAGGTATTTCACAGTGCCTTTGAGTGCATTCTCTTTTGGTCCCAGTGCTCGCTTAGGGAGAAGTATCAAGCTTCCCCTGGGATCAGGCTGGTTTCATGAGTCACTGGTGAGATGGGTCTTCCTACTTTGTTGTTATGATCCTGGTTTCATCTCAAGAAATAGGAAGGCTAATAACGTTTGTACTCATGTACTTGGCGTTCAGATGCTTTACTTTCCCAAACTCTCACTTCCTTAAACACACTTCAAAGGTGGCACTCCTGCAAAGCCCCCAGAGAAAGGAGTGTGTTCGTGGAAAAGGCTCTTGACAGATGCAGGGATTATATTCACTGCCTGTGGAAGGAACTGAAAGCTAATCTGATTGCGTGAGGTGGCTTTGCACAGCACGGGCGTTTGGCTTCCTTGGGATGATGTAGAAGCAAGAGAAAAGGTACCAACCAGAGGCCTGGCTTCCATTATTCATTTTTGATAAACCCGAGTCTTCAGAGGCCTGGCTGCTGAATCCCAGTGACATGGAGGAAGGGACCACCCATAGTTCTGGTTTTGTTCCTGTCATTCTGATATTGGTTCAAATGACTTTTTTTCTACTTTTTTGCACAAAGCTACTTCTAGTAAGGAACATAATGTATTATGAGGAGTCTAGAATTTTATTCAATTTAACTTCATTCAGGAAATTTCAGGCACAGGCAATGAGGCCATTTTATCGTTAAAAGGCATCACTAACCCCACATCAGAAGCAAGGTGCAGTTGAAGGATATAGCCTAACCCACACACACACATACACACACACACACACACACACACACACACACACACACACACACACACA